CCCAACGAGAACAAATGGACTTCTCAATTTGGAATGTATAGCCAGGTGAAGTTCGACCTGTTAACATAGTTGACTGGAAAGTGCATGGCACTCCCTTAGGGAGCCGGAGAAAGCTGTTTACATCGAACTATCCAGTCATAAGAAGCCATTATCCTTATTCTGTAGGAATCAAGACAATTTAAACGTGGAAATCCCCTTTAGTTCTGGAAGCAAATGGACATCCCATTTTCGAATGTACAGCGAAAGTAGTCAAGCAACTGTATGCCGTGCATAAGCAGTCTGGAAAGGATTTGAACTTGATGCTATTTAGCCCAGCACAAGTAATATCCAACCTTGACCGCGGATCTGGAGCAACCGCTGACGGAAGAGAAGAAATGAACAATGAACACAACATAACACAAAAATGCAAAATATACACGGACATAAAGTTAAAGAAATGAATACGACTTAGCCAGCTTGGCTGCTGGACCGCCATGCTTGCACAGTCGAACTACCTCGCTCACATAGACCGCGGTTAGCTGCTTGCATGAATAAACAGAATGGTTCCACCTCACATATATTCGCCGTTGGTGCCTTTCATCTGCGCCAGCCAATCTCTTGGCAGTACAGCGGCGACCCACAGGCAGGATCTGTACCTGTCTCATTGTGCATTGCCACTCATTGCAGCATCAAACTAACAAGTGTTATCGTCTTTGTAATAATTACCTTACTCAGGATCAAGAGTCTCTGGCTGTGCTATAGTTGGCTCCAGCCCGACCCTACTCTCTAACCCCATAGGCCAAATCTCTAAAGATGCTTAAGAGGTAATATCACAATGGAAGCCAATGATGATTTTGTGGGTGGATTCGGGATGCAGCCCACGCAGCCGTCGGACAATAGGCGCAGGATGCACGAGGTCCAGCTGCAGCTATGATGCAGCCAACGAATGACAAGTGAGTGGCATCATCAGCCATTGCACTGGTTCATCAGATGAGCGGTACATTTTAAACGTGCCCAGCAACGTTTGCAGTGCTGCTGGTGATAAGGCCACCAAAGCGTTTGAGGAATTCCTGGCCGTCAGTGGAATGAAATATGACGACTTTGCCGAGTTCTATGGCAACTTGGCAACATAGGACTTCACCATCGCGACCACGCTCCTCATGCCATGGCTGCACACCTGGGCAGCACCAAACCCAAGCAACAACCCAAGGTATGATGTTGTCTCATGAGAAGTAGTAAAATTGGGCTTGCATGCTAGACATTGCAACTGCTTGCTTGCATGATCTGCGGGACTCAAATGAAGGGGTTGCAACCCCATATGGTAAACTTGCTTCAGCAGGCATGTGTACAGAAGCGAGAAACGGGAGCTGCAGACGGCATCATCCACCAAAGCTCTGCCTATGATGAAGAAAGGTGACATAAGCATGATGCCGCTCTGCCTGAGATATGGGTGCCGGTTTGGAAGCCGTTGAGGATGGAGGCGTATGTTGGCTACTGGCTCATATCACGAAGCATGACACATGAATAGTGACCACTGGTGAGTTGTTCTCTGGGGAAAATCATGATGTAACAGGTTGATTAAGGCAACTACCCAGGTTCAAACAGGAAGAAGCCGTTGAGCAAGTATGTTGGTTACTAGGTCATACACGGAGCTAAGACTTGGGATTGGTGAGATGTTCTCTGGGGAAGTCATGATAGAACGGGTTGGTATAGGCTAGTTTCCTAGTTCCGACCTGAGTTCGGTTCCCGGGCATGCTTTTTCTGCTTGGGAGGTGATAGCTGTGACTACAGGTATCTACACAGTTGTGTCCATCACTCTGAGATTGACAGATGGTTGGGGATCCCCTGATTTTGAGGGGGGATAATTGTCATTCATGTGCAAGCAAACAAGGGCAACTGCAGTTTTTTTGGATTTTGTGTCAAATTACCTCTTGCTGCATATATTCTGTATGGAGTCTCCTATACAGGGTTTGGCGTATTTAACTTCTGATGGGGATGTTTGTCTGTCTACAGGGCCCACCCAGCAACCTGCAGCTGCTGTGGACAACACCACATGCTTTCCCCACCACACATCAGCACGCAGAGTCAGTGGAAGATTAAAGCAGTAGTAAGGTGTGTGGCAAAAAACTGCATTCTAAGTTCCACATCACAGTCATTGCAGTTCATGATGGTCTGACAAAGGTGCTACTGTATGCCCCTGCCTGATCTTTGCTGCATACAGGCTCACAAGCTGCTTGTGGAGGACTGCTGCTGCAGCAATGTCTTGTAGTGTTAACTAACGGCGATAGAGGACCAATACTAGGCATGACTACCAGAAGGTGTTAGGGTGGATAGTGCATGTGACCTATGATGTAGCATGTTTTGAGGCAAATTTTGTTGAGAGATGTGTAACACAGCAAAGGCGTAACCCGGGATGCTCAGATTGGCATTTGCGTCGTTACAAGATGGATGAGCTGCAGCTGGGTGCACCCAATATGAAACTGTTTGGAGCTGTTTCGAAGCTTCTGCTGCAGCAGCTGCTGCATACAGGCTCACAAGCCGCTTGTGGAGAAGCTACTGCTAGCAGCAGCGCTGCTGCACTGTACAGTCACTGTACAGACTTGTCTTGGAGTGTTAACTGACGGTGATGGAGGACTTCTTCTAGGCATGAATACCAGAAAGTGTAAGGGTGGATAGAGCGCTTCTGAGCTATAATGTAGCATGTTTTGAGGCAAATTGTTGACAGATCGATGAGCTGCAGCTGCAGCAGCCGCTGTTGTGGAAATGTTTGGTGCTGTTTGGAAGCTGCAGATTGTTTGGAAGCTGCAGCTGCAGCAGCTGCTTCAGCTGAAGCAGGCAATGCATATGGCTTAATGTTGTTACATAGCAGG